GGTCTCAGTCCATCACAGAGACACATGGACAGGTCTCAGTCCATCACAGAGACACATGGACAGGTCTCAGTCCATCACAGAGACACATGGACAGGTCTCAGTCCCTCACAGAGACACATGGACATGTCTCAGTCCATCACAGATACACATGGACATGTCTCAGTCCATCACAGGGACAGTTTTTTTTGTTTCTTAAATTTTGTTTTTGTAAATGTCTGATAAAAAATGTCTTCAGCCTGAGTCTGGTTCTTTCAGAGGTGGTCTTCTTGACCCACCTGGACTTGAACCTGTGGTCTGGAGTGAACCAGCAGAGGACCTAAAACCCGCCTGGAAGTCCTGCTCAGAAAGGTTCTGGTCCAGTTTGGTGACAAACTGTGATCGAACCTGAAACTCTGAACTGGTTGTGATGAAATGAAAATCTTTGATGTGAAACTTTAAAACTTACAAACAGCAGCGAGTCTGAAGAACCGAACTGAGATTTATTAAAGGTTATAAAACAAGAGGTTTAATAAAACAGTTATAAAACAGAAGAGGTTTAATAAAACAGGTTTAATAAAACAGGTTTAATAAAACAGGTTTAATAAAACAGTTATAAAACAGAAGAGGTTTATTAAAACAGTTATAAAACAAGAGGTTTAATAAAACAGTTATAAAACAGGTTTATTAAAACTAATCTAAACTGTCTCTCTCACCTCCTGCTGGTGGAAAACTGATGAAAACCTTCAGATCATCTTCACGACGTCAGGAGTGAAAACTTTGACACTTCCGGTTTTCTTCCTAACATTAAAACACGTTTTCATGAACAAATGTCGACACTTTTCTTATTTTTCTTCAGATTCTCATGAAGGCTTGAAAAAAAAAAAACCCTCTGTGTTGGCGTAGTTTAGAGGGCGTGGCTTCAACAAAACTGTCCAATCACAGATGAAGCAGAACTGCGTTTGATTGACGGAATGTTTTAACCAATAACATTCAGAAGCGCAACTTTACAAACGACAAGAGGAAGTGACGTCATGGACAAGCTTGTGTCTGATTGGTCCCGGCCGGAAACAGGAAGTAAACATTGTGTAACTTCAAAGTAAAAAATATTTACTTTCTAAAATCTTTATCAAACTTTTTTAAACTACTAATCTTTTTTCTGTAAATGTTTTTAAAGTTATATTAATCCAAATATTTTCATCAAAAATATTGGTTTATTTTGTTACAGTATTTAATTTTTAAACAGACTATTATTTTGAAAAAAATAAAAATAAAAGCAGCGGAAGTATGTTGTATTTTTTCCTGGAGCTGAGTTTCTGCAGCAGCGCGTGCACGTGAGTTAAATGTGTTAAATGTGGTCTTATTAACCTGAGAGGTTTGTGTTTACAGAGCGGTGTGGTCTCTTTCATCTTTTAACTAACTCTACTTCAAACGGTTAGTCGCTTTATTCTGCCTGTTGTAGCTTACAGTAACACACACACACACACACAGACACACACACACACACACACACACAC